AGTCACTGTAGCCCGGATCGCTGGGTTTCAGATTTTCCCGCAGCCAATGGTACTGTGTTACACCTCAAGGAAGGTACCTCAGCTAGCCAAAGTTAGATTAGCGCATTCTGAGTGGGGCGCTGGGAAAGAAAGCATGTGTGTCTGGAGGTAAACTGTTTTCGAAATCCTCTTAACAGATCTCGGCTGGCGACGACTCTCACCTCCACGTGGTGCCGGCTGGGAACCTGTGAATGCCTTGCCTGGGATGTATTCGCAGAGCTAAGAAGAGTCACCACTGGCCAGCACTGTCCGCTGGCTAGGGCTACGGCGGGAGCGAGAGCTCAGGGGTCAGGGGCCCTGCCTGACCCCACGCACAGGCGACAAGGGAACACTTTGAAAACCACCCGACACACGACTGCGAAACCGATCCTACAATCAGTGGACACTAGGCTCGTGGGATAGGACACCCTTGGGGTGCTCTCGGGCTGCTCTGTTGAAAGGAGGATATCGCTGGGTCTGAGGATACACAAACGACAGAGTCAAAAGCAAAACCACGAACGACACGGCACGACCCAGCATGCTTGAATCCACACAGAGAACGACGAGGTACTTTGGTTAGTAGGAGGGACAACACTGTGTTGCTTGGCTGTTCTGGGTACAGAGAGGATGCAACTGGGCAAACTCCTGCGAGACACGGTCGGCATTGTCAGAGAGATCTTACAAGGTAGCGCGAAATGGATTTGACAATCCGTGGGGCGCAGCATATAATGGAAGCGACGGAAGACTGGGTGGGCGGACTGCAGATACGACACTTTCTATATGGCTCGAGAGGACGGACGCGCGTGTCGGTCTACTGAGAGAATAGGATTTTGAAGATGGCTATCGAGGATGGAGTCTTCAAGGCCGCTATGGAAGTAGGCTTAAGGTGCAAACTGGTATTGACTGGCGGAACTGGCTGTCCCCCGTGAAGGATGCGGATGAGGATCGAAGGGGATGCAAGGTAGAGGGTCTATGTAGGTAGACATGCTGCCACCTCTACAATGTATTATCAAGCGTGCCCAACTTAGTAATACAAATCAATACTTGTGTTGGGCCTGGCGAAAGAGCAGGCTAGAGCAGCGACGCAAGAGGATACTACACCTCAAGCACAGGTCCCCAGAATGAAGTCAACAACACTGAATATCGCGCGATCCCAGGCAGCCACCAGCCACGGCCTGCCAGAGAACGTCGGAGTCATGCCAAACGTGTGGATTCAGCGCTTCCAGGGAAACACACCCGACAGCTGTATGACCGATTGTCTTGGAAAGAAGCAAGCGTACTTGCCCAGCTCCGGACTGGCATGGCGAGACTCAATGGATATCTCTATCGAATCAACGTTGCAGAGACGGATCAATGCGCATGTGGACAAGCCAGAGAGACCGTGGAACACTTCCTCTTTCGATGTCAGAGGTGGACCACACACCGGACGGAAATGCTGCAATGTACCCACACTCACCGAGGCAACATATCATTTTTCCTAGGCGGAAAATCGCCTTTGGATGACCAGAACTGGAAGCCGAATTTGGAAGCAGTGCGAGCCACAATACGGTTTGCAATCGCCACGGGCCGACTCGACGCCGCTTAACCGTGTCGACCAACAAAGATTAATCTTACCCCACTCCAACCCCAATCTAACTCCGACCAACTACCTTGTGCCAGAGACGGTAGACGCGCTTCAATTGCCGAGAATAGGATGTTGAACACTTGGAGAAACGCCTTCAAGCAAGTCTACTAAACACTAACTCACAAGGTCCCGCTAAGATATTAACATCCGAGATGACATATATGAAAGGAATCTTGTATGGGCTCCAAGGAGACACAGCGTTAGCTAAGGCATGTATAGTTAGATTAGTGATAGCTGCCCTTTCGGTTCAGCCGCCGGGCGTTAATAAATTGTTTGTTTGTAACAGATCTCATGGGTTCCAGGATGCTACAGTTAAGGCTGTAACTAAACCTTGATAACAATAAACTTCAATTCTCCGAGAATCTGCTAGGTTGGATTCCCTGTGAACGCTCCACCACCGCTCCACGTGGCGAATAAAATAAGAAGTGGAGATAAGGGGGTGAATCCCGAGGTTTGAATTTGCTTTTCGCTTATCGCTAGATTAAGAAGCCCTAACTAACCACAGAAGTTTGGTTGGCGACTTGAGTCAAAACCTTATTTCTCCATCTTCCCCACACACACACGGCTCGGAAATTCGAGAACACTAATTGCTCCAGTCATTTGCTTCAAGCAATGTGGTTGGTGTAGTAGTTTTTAAAAAAGCTTAACTAAAAGGTTAATCAATTAATCAATATCTTTGACACGAGCTAGCTTCCTCCACATACAAGGTGCTATGTAAGGGTTTACTCTCTTGTTTCCAACAGAACAAGCAGGGTAAAATGCCACGTGCATGCGTGCAAGGGGGATGCAAATGCAGCCAGTAAAGCCAAACGTGCCCAACAAAGAGAACATGCCTCTATGGACTTCGACTATTGTATCACTTAAGTCCACGAAAATATAAGGGGTAAAAATAAGAGAAAAAACCATTATTTATTTTGCTATATTGTAGTTTCACTTAGGCTATGTTAACCGCGAGAGATACTAGGATTAAACCCTCTCTTGATCCAAGATGATTAGTTGTATATTCTAGTACCGAGTCCGCATCGCGAAGAATATTATCGCTGAAAATGCGCCCAATAGGAGACACCTTTTCCAGAATTACAGAGTCAGCTGCGCCTCACTAGCGTAGAAGGATCTGCTCGAGATAATGACTGTTGCTACTGTTTCAATACTGTCCAAGGAAGTGAGCTCTATCTGGTGGGGGAAGCCGTTGATATACCCAATATCCTAATCCGGTTATGTTGGCTCCCAGTACCAGTCTTGAGATTGAACTTTACAATCTCACTATCCATCTTTCAAATCTCATCGTACTCGATCGTCTCATTTCTAATACTATTCCCGTTTGAAGGAAATCCTAGCTCACTAGGTCGAATTATCACAGTATACAATTAGGCAGCTCGATCGTTATCAGGGTGAGGCGGTAACAGCGATAGTTGACCCTTTCTTTCCTGTACCGTCTAGCAGTTCCGTCAACCTCCAGAGCCATATAGGTTCTCTTATATTTATAAAAAAGGTTTACGGTAGTCGGCACATGCCGCAGGCTAGGTGTTGTGCAACTCGCCGCTTTTTGTCCTTGGGTCATTAAATACATCGCACTCAACTGTCCACCTGCTTCTTTCCATTTGGTGTCTTTCCCCCAGATCTAACTCTCCAGCAACGGTTGTAAGGCGTGTGCTCGGAACCTCGGGCTCGGCTTTCCATGCATTGAAGGGAAACCATGTTCTCCAGCAATCGTAACCCCCTTTCCACGGGAAGAACGGATACTTTCTTCTTTAACTTGCAAGGCAGGATTTAATCCTTCGATTTCCGAACCCTATATCGGAATAACCTGATTCGGAAGCGCCTACAGACAATCCGTAGTAACGGGTCTAACGTGCCCGGTCCCGCGTGTGGCGCCGGGGTAGACGCAAGCGAGGAAATAATTATATATCACCACTTCATATGTCAATAACCATGTCGTTAGAATATTATTTCAGGATACGATGGCATAGATAGCAAAATAGTCCACCAAAGTGATTTTGATAAAAAGAGAAGTTTGGGAAGATGGAGATAATATACTTCTGTTTATCACGTCTAAATTACGGTGGATTATATAGTAATGTTGCAAGGGAAACGTCGAAATTACTTAGAACTAGGATACGTTATTTCTTATGCTAAGAAAGCCTACCCTAGCATTCAAGTGAAATTGGTCGGTTGTTGGGATATGAAGTGAAATTTATCGCATTTACCATGCGTTTTGGTGCAATCGGGTTGACCGTGAGATCGGGTTGGCCATCGACTACGTTGTTACTTTCCTTCACTTAACTTAATGTATAATTCATCGAACAGAGCGGGCACGTATGTTAGGTATGCATATTACACTATGCAACATTTCCTATTTAATCTAATGCTTTAAGGAAAATTCCTCAATCTAAGACAAAGAACACAAAGACGATCAGGATGATTTCTAGGTACACTATTTATTCGGGACGAATACGTTGTTTTCCGAACCTTTTAATTGGTTTCTTAACTTAAAGTGTAATAAGCAGCGCCGCACCGGTAGTTGCGCCTAGAACAAGTAGGGTCTTGCCACGTTTTATAATTGTTTAATTAAGTGGGCGCCAAAGACTCGGTAATAATCCCACCATTGCTGAACGGCATGCTAACTTGAGCTAAACTCTTCGTCTTTTTGATCCACTCGCCACGCACGTGCCTACTGTTACAAGAAATTTATCAGTGGGTGATAATTCGCTATAAATCTCGCCAGCCAAGGAGGGGAAACAATTCGCTCTATTTGATTCTCAGAGTAACACCAGCACTGCCTGGCCTGACTATTTTATTTATACGTCGGATCTCTAGTCCATTTTCTTATTCCAATTTTGACTTTGATTTTGCGCTAGGCGTCAGGACCAGCTTTTAGAAGCATACCTGCCTTCGCAGGTTCTGCCAAGGTAGGAAATTCTCAGAAAGCGTTCGAGAATATGTTATTAACGGCCCTTTCTGTGCGCAAGCTGTGTGTCCCTCCAGAGAAGGTAGCCAGTGAAGACTAACTCACGGCCTTCTACATACACGAGGATTTCCCCCGCGGACGGTTTTTATCGGGGCTTGCTATTCTAGGAAAGGGGCCTCAGCGGGAGGCCATGCAAGATTAGGACCATGCATATGACGACCTATTCTATAGAGCCCAGAAAAAAGACAGTGTTATCAACACAACTCACGACCACAAGACAGCAGTCCTCCGGTACGTCCTCCGTTCATACTTTTTCTAGGACACTATTCCCGTGGGAGAAAACATCCATAAGGGCCCATGACTAAATGTAGACCACAGTCAAATCGACAACTTTCAATAACGCCGGGGCACTAAACCTTCGGTGGGCTAGGCAATCTGAACACGTCTATAATGGAGTCTCCTCGAATCTTTCCATTCGTTCGACCGTGGAGAAACTCCACAAAACAGAAGAGCAACAAAAGGTGTAGCCTACCTCCGCCACCCGAACTCGGGTGTACTCTCTTCCACAATCATGTTCAAAAAGATATCGGTCTGATGAACTTGACCCGCGGAAGCAATATCTCGGAATCATCAGAGAATGTGAAGGACAAAGAGAACAAGGGCATCAGACCGCAGGAGATGTTGATCAAGATGGAAGATTCCCTAGGACTACACTTAACTAGCGGAGCCAAAGAAAAGTCCATCCAATATCCACCATCTGCAGGACCAGTGGAGAGCGCCAGAATGTCTCCAACAAACCGCCATCAAGGAACGGTATCCTCCATCTCCATACCTAAGCAAACATCGCCCGAGCCATCCACACAAACTTGGACTGTTTTTCCTCGGGAATCACGACGGACAATCATTGCCGTCGACACAGCCGTCTCTTCTGATGGCGAAGAGTCGGACGTTTGGCCTTTACCTGACAACCAGCCATCTACTGTACCACGCTTTAGCGCAGCCCTACGCCGTTTCTTTCCCGAACTGTCCTTTACCGACTTCGTATCTGTGTCTTCGATAGGAGCTAGTGCTGGTGCCCATCAGCAAAGCGCCGGGCTAATCGGGTTCTCGTCGAATTTTGAGACAGAACTCCGCGAGCGGGTTCAAACCCTCTACAAGACTTCGGCTAATGCTGTTGATATACTAGCCACAGACGTGAATGAAGCTCTGAAGCAAAAGACAGCATCCTCGCTGTCGGGCTCCGGGGATTTATTTGACTGCGCCTCGTCTTTCTATAGTAGCCGGACTTCTATCGCGAGTGTTGAGACAGAATGCTTCAGGCCAGCCACAAAAGAACCTCATCGATGCTCCATTCTCTCACCCGTTGCGGCTGGTGTCTTTGACTATGCTGTTTCGGCGTGTTCTTTGCGAGCTCCGACGTTCGTCCCGCCAGTACCGACTGAATCGGCATCTAGCAAAGGCAACGCGTCAGGCTCTACCTATCCATCGTGCTCAATGTCGCCATCTCGACGCACTTCAATTTTCCCCAAGCTATCGTTTAACGACATCAAGAACAAGCCTCTCCCCCTCGAGCCCGGCGAAGATCCCGGTCCGCTAGCCATCCACCGCAATCACTACGGCCCCCTATCTGCAACAACAGTAGCTTTGCAATCATCCAGATTTCACTCGACCTATCATGACCACGAGCTAAACCACAAGACCACAGGCATGCACCGAAATAAATCTGGGAAAGCATGTCATATATGTGGAGAGTGCACTGATCATGATCTCAGTCGATCTTTCTCGGGCGGTCGCATTGAGCAGTCAGAAACCGGCAATGGCCATCGTCTGTAGCAAGTTCCGACATTAGCGCAAGCCGCAGTAGAACTGGAATATGCCCTAGCCAACATTACAAGGGACCCACTTATCCAGCAACGGACTCTACTAGTACTAGAAGGACCGCTGCAGATCAGTCGGCACAGTGGCGAAATAGTCGTGACGCGACCGCGCCAGCGCGCCTCTCGATGAATCCACACTCCAAAATTCACCCGCTCAAATCGTTTGAGAGCAAGAGCATCCACAGAACAGTCAAAACAGCTGATGATGTCATGAACAAGCTCGTTATCTTCTTCAATTGGCTTCAAGACCTCGAGCATGGGTCGGAAGGGCTCTACAGCCAAGGTCTGCTTCTCTATGTCGCGGGTTTGGGTCTGTCTGGCCAGCGTGGTCCTGTCTGTTCATATCTTATTCTTACCGGCAGCGGGGTTGCAATACCGAGAAGCGGGGGCTCCCCAGTTGACGTTGGCTGTGTGTATAGCGGTACCTCTCCTTGTGTATCCGTCGTTTCTGGCGCTTTGCTAGGATTATCCATGGCTGATAGTGGTTCCACAGTCGTGGAGCCAGTGTCCCTTTATACTATGACTTTGCTCACTCCGATGTAAATGAACATGATAAGACCAACGTAGTCCCTCAGCTACTTTGGATTCAACCAGTTTTCAACTTTCACTCCATGTTCCGTCCCTAAAGCTACTTTTTTCCGGTACCACCGCCAAGGCTTTAGTGGGGAGGAATTATTGAGCAAGCCGCATCAAAGTGAGAGTTGCAGTGTTTCTCATCCGATTATGCCGCCATATAGTACAACGAACATTACGATCTGCCGTTCAACAGTCCAAGTATCGAATGTGACCACACGTGGCAGAGTACAGGGTTATCCTAAAGCATTTCCCACTTACCACTCTGAGATTCGAATCAACGAAAACAACACAAAGAGGGTAGAGGCCCAAAGCTCATGAATGAGCAGCTCCCCTAGAAATGCACGGCTATCCACTATATAAGAATAAAAGACCCCCAGGCCAAAACAGTTCACGCAACAAAGCTTAATCTGTATGTTTATACGGGTGTCGTCGCAACCCCGACGCTGTGGAAGCTCCTCTATCGGTTCAAGACCAGCGAGGTTCTGGATTGGACTTGTTTAGTAAGGATGGTGAGGTGTAGGCATGGCGGAAGTTGATGGGAAAAGAAAGACTGGATGGTGGCTGCTTTTAATACGAGTGAGAGAGCAGCGGCGGGAAATTCATTAGCCGTGAACTAAGCAATGGTTGCATGCATGGTTAAGATAAGACTGCTGGTGGTTTGGCGCACAAGCAGTGCTCCCGCGACGATTCGGTGCCACAGAAGCAATAGTCATTAGAAGGGGCCTGTAGACCTGCCTTCTTTGGCTCGCTCTGCTTCACTTTCCAAGCCAATAAATATTGCTTTCCCCTGGCGTGAATCAAGGTCTGGTCAGGATTGAAATCTTTGTTTATTCCTGGTGGTCTTTTGCTATTTCGTTCTGCATCGAGAGCCGGTATTGTAGCTCTTACGTTTCTAGTTTCTCCAGATGAATTCACTCTGCGTCATGAAATCTGAGCTTCTACATCGGAAAGCTTAAGATGCTCGCTGCTCTTCATTAGTTCAACACGATAAGCCCTATCAAGACATTGACATTAACCACTGTATGATAGCCAACTGGACTGATCATTTTATTCCACTTGAGTCGCATGACAACATTTTCCATTTTGACAAGCCTGATTTGGGTGAGCGAGAGGGTTTACACGCTCCGCTTGCGCACTACTAAATACTATCTCTAATCAGCTTGAGCATCTCGGAGTCTTATGCTCTTTGCGGAAACTGTAGGCGAGTTACGTTGACAACGAAGTACAGGACTCTGCCAAGGTCGACAAGCTCAAGCAGAGCCCGCCCCTAAGTACGTATCACCAGCCCCAAGTTTCTCCGTATCTGTGATCTAGAGCAACTGGAATGGAGGATGTATCTAGGGTGAGCAGGGATACAACCATATGAAAAAATCGAATGCCCAGAACCTCTGCTGACAACCACTTCGTTCCTCAAACAGCTCTCGACGCTGACGACATCTCCAAGCGCCCCAAGGAGAAGGCTCTGCAAGATCACAAGACCAGATTGCTGTGGGTTTTTATTATCTTTTCGTATCTGTCGTGCGCTGAAAGATGAGAAAGCCACGAGGCCGCGCTTATGTCCCGCGAGAGATCATTCTCCTCACGGCGGAGAATCTCAACCCTCGTGACCAATTATCACTCTTACACGCCATTCCTGACCTCGTACGGGTCTTGACATTCCGCCACACTTCTATTCAGGATGAAAAAGGGAACACAGTCTTACACCTTCTCGCAGAAGAAGCTGAGAGCAGACTGAAAGAGCTGCTACTAGCGAAGAATAGTACTCAAGTGGACCCAAAGAACAAGAATGGTCGAACACCACTATCGTACGCAGCTGGGTGCGGATATGAAGAAGTGGTGAAGCTACTGGTTGAGCGAGATGATGTTAAGGCGGACTCGCGGGATAACGATGGTCGGACCCCACAGTCGCATGCTGCTGAGGGTGGATATAGAGAAGTGGTGAAGCTGCTACTGTGGCGGGATTATGTGGAGGCGGACTCGAAAGATAGTTATGGTCTGACGCCGCTGTCACTGGCAGCTAAGTGTGGACATGAAGAAGTGGTGAAGCTACTGGTTGAGCGAAATGATGTTAGGGCGGACTTGAAGGATGAGTACGGCCTGACACCACTACCGTTGGCACGGACAGAAGCGGTGCTAGAGCTTCTCAACTCCGTGTCGTAAATAGCCAGCGAAAATTCAAGCAGATATACGAGAGGATGTTGCTCATTCACTGAGGTTGCTTACTAGTAAATATATATTCGGTGCACAGCAACCTGTTCAGCATTAGCGACACCAGTGAACAGAACAGCAACTTATTCCGCTTTGTATCTTTGCAAAGAGGTGTAAACTAAATTTATAAAATAGTACGCATGAGATAATCAAAACATGAATCAAATATTGAATAGCTCCCAGTGCCTCAGTATAGAAGACCGTAGAATTGACAGTGAGCCAACGTTTCTTAACCGACTCAACTTCACTCATTTTCAACACAAATCTAGCACGTCTCTCGGTGGGCATTTAAAAGGAATCAAGGATTTTGCTGCAAAAAGTTGCCGTAGAACGAAGGCATGGGTTGCAACAGACCTCACTTAGGATAGGCATCATGCCCTTCAACGTTTGCTACTTAGCAGAGCACGTACGCGACAGGAGCCAAGAAATCTATAAATACGTCTTCCCCCTCCAGCAATTTGTTCTACAATTCTATCACTGGGCTACGCAAAGTCGAGCAGGCCTTGCGTTTGAGGTGCCTGATACGTTCTTCCATTAATCCCTACCGGAGTGACATCTATGGATACATCGTGGGCCTACAAGCTAGAAAGTGCTTGTGAAGTGATCCCCACCAGGTCCATTATGTCATCCAAGCCAGCCGGTCAAAGAAGCAGATTTATGTTAGATGGTCGATGTATCTATGCGAACATCTGTCCACGATAGCAGCCGACCCCCGCCACGCCCCTGAATATCGATGTAAAAAAGTGATCTCCATACAGGTATGTAGATTTCGGCGCGGCCATTTTCGAAACTGGACTGACTTCAAAGACGATGCGAAAGAAAGATCCATGCGTTCCGTCCAATATACCCCAGCCAGGGAGCCCTTTCCTGTGTCTTTCTTACAACATGTAAGTCACTCATTGTCTCGCCGATCGACAAGCTAATGATGGGCAGGAAACCGTTGACAGCGCACCATAGTGAGCTGGACCCAGCACTGTCAGTGCTCCGCGCAAAGTCACGACTTACAGGCCATTTCTTACCCTGTCATTTCAAACCATGCAACATGTCCTCTGTGAAGACTGCAAAGCAAGGTCGCGGACCAACAACAGGACACGTAAGCTCTAATGTTCGTTCTCTGCGATGAGGTGGGTGGAATATCGCGCCTCCTGCTGTGCCGGTTTTGATTTTCTGCTAAGTCTGTGCCACAGACACGAACCCCACTGACATTTCATACCGTTGTAGGAGCAGCCCATTGCCAACCGCGAAAATCTTATGGCGAATAACCTATTCGCGCCGAATCAGATACGACCAAAGGGCAGACGCGCCATTGCGTCTTACGCCCTCCTCACTGCCTCACACCCTCGACAACGGAGTGCCTCTACACGAAGCAGTCTCCCAATACGACTGTACAATTTTTTGTCACAGGTGGGTTCGTCGCGCGCTAGTGCCATCTTGTGAACTTGCCCGGTGCATCCAGTGCGGCTTCTCGAAGCGATAGCCGGAGAGTGCGACGAACTGGACGCAACATGGCATATTGGTGACTGCATTACAGAAGACAATTGGAAGTGATCTAGTTGGTAAGCTGGTAGGATGACGATCTTAATTGACCAACTGTCTCAAGCGTATGCTCGGGGGATTCTTCATCAACAACGTAAAGTACAACACCTCGTCAAACTGGATCAACACTTGCTGACTCGGATCTCACCACAGGAAGACACTCTCAGATTCTCACACTCGTATGCGAAGCGAGCAAATGTCTGGGCTGCTCAACCTCCCCTGCACCAACACCATCGCATGCTCTGTTTCTTCCACATGAATACCGATGGCATCGATGATCGCGACCTCGACCTTCTCGCAGTGGATTTTGTTCATCAGATCATGCGCTGGTATGCCTACCTGATGGAAGACCCAATCGAGCGTATAGCAGTGTCTGCCTCTCGGCATTCGAACAACCTCATAGGATAGCTTGCTTGCGGCTCGGATCCCCGGCGTCCAGTGGGTGACCATCGTTGTCCTCAGATGGCGTCTGCGTCTCTCGAGCCCGAGGAGCCGATGTTTCGCCTTGCTTGAGCCGTACTTTCGCAGACGGCCAGGTTGTTCGTTTAAGTGTGCGTGCAAGGAGAAGGTGAGGCGAAAGTCCCGTCATTTCTAGCCGAATAAAATAACAATAACCATCTCAGCTTCAAATCAAGT